CTAGAGTGTTGAAATTCTTGAGCTAGGAAGGCCACGGATTCTCTTCTAGTCCCTTGGTCATTGTCATTTCACCTCTTCTGTCGATTGTTGAAGACCAAGTTAAATACCTTTGATCATTGGGAATCGATCCGATGCTGTTTTCAATGGGAAAAACAAAACCAAAGACCAAGAAATATTGGATGGAAAGGGCGGGTTTGCTTTATTGCAAATGTCAGCTTAGTAGTACAGGGTCATCTACCCACATCTAATAAGCAAAAGTTTCCACGCTTAGCTTTTCTTTTTTTTCAAGCGAAGATGAGATTAGATTTTGGCACGCACAGAAAGTTGCGCAAGTACCAGTTGCTCGACATACCTGCGTGGCCCGTGCGACGAAATAACTTCACGGGATTGGCAAAGTTTCAGTCACAGCAAATTATGCAAAAAATCTAGAAAGATTTAAGCTTAAATCTCGTTTAACGTTTAAAGCGACATATCAATGATTGCAACCATCGTGTTGTATACAAACCTCGCAAACTTTAAAACACGTTCTCTAGTGATACCTGCGAAAGTATTCAGTATAATTTCCGGTAAGATTTTCGCGGACAATCTGATCGATTTCTCTTACATTGTGTGCTGAGACTGAAACTTTTCACCTCAAGCAAATCTCCGTCGCACGGTCCAAACAAACATAGTGAGCAACTGAGCTACTAGTATATGTCCGTGTTAAAACACACGAAAGGACTCTAGAGCACACTTTACTCTGATTGGGCAGAAAAACACAAAGATTTTCTGGCATCAATCAGATGGCAGAGCGACTGCGACCGTTTGGAACTGGTCTTGTAAGACAATGTCCCCAGGGGCTCTTCATGCCCTAACTTGAAATCGACCCACAGCCCCAGGGTCTCCGAGGATGTGGAAACTAACGAATAAAGGGTGAAAGTTTCTAAAGAAACTGTGGTGCTGCGTCGGTGGGGGTAACAAGGTAATTTGGTATATCAACTAAGTTGAAATTGTAAATTGGCCGCCGTAACTAGTAAAAAGCTGACGTTTCGAATGTTAGCCCTTCGTCCGAGCGAATTACGAACGAATGACATCATTCGCTCTGACGAGGGGCTAACGCTCGAAACGTCAGCTTTTTAATTCGTTACGGTGGCCAATTTACAATTTCAACTTCGTTGATATACCAAATTACCCTATGGAAACTAACCACAATTGTACAAGCCTTATTACGTCAACCGAAAGGAAACTTTTTAAACTATGCTTACGCTTATCATAAGCTAGTTTTGCGGCAGCCTGCGAGGCCCTCTTTTATCAGTTCGACGGCAGAAGGTTTGCATCGGGTTTAGCACTGATTAGTGGTGCCAGACTCCAACACACCAATCCCCAACTTGTATATCTCGTAAATCTGTGTTGAGGCATACAAATGATCAGCCTGTGTACCATATATGGAGGTCGTACGAAAGATACCTCTGCCCCAGGGGTATCTTTGTGGCCCCAGTTTTATTGGGGCTGTGCCGTGAGATACATCTGCACGGTGCTTTTGGAGGGTCTTAAGTAAACCTGTCGTAGATCAGTACTGCATCTCCTGAACTTTTTGTAGAAATTCTGCGATCACCTCTGAAAGGGGGAAATGCATACAAATTGTAATGAGCGAGACGAGTTAAAGGTGATTGCATCAACAGAAAATGCCCCCGGAGTTCCTTTTGTGGCTTTTCCCACCATCGGCATGCTTGGTCTCGTGTCTAGGAGGTTTGCGATGTCAGTTGTCAGGTGTTGCAAGGCCTTTCGTATCGTCCTCGTTTATAGGGCTTTTGAAACGCGTAGAATACGCTTCGTTCTCCTCGGACTCTAGATTGCGAGGAGGATGGACTCTGGCCTCTTCTCCTCGAAGAGCGCGAAGAACCATCAATCGAGCTGTACGGCAGCCATCGTCCTCATGTTGGAGTTTATCTTCTCCAATTCCACCCTAATTTTTTGGTCAGAACAGGCAGGCACAGAGGTCGGTGGCTTAGTAGTAAAGTCAGGCTGACCGATGGAGTTGCCAGGTTGGCCAATCAGCGTAGATGCTGAGCCGGGTTCATTCAGTTGGCAAGCACCGTCACCGTGAGCCATGTCTGTTCACTGACTGCGCCAAAGAAAAGACTATACAAGGAATAGTGAGATGAGGTTATTACTTCTCCCATAAATAATACTTAGACAAGGTTGCGTCGCTCCAAAGGTGGATTGCGAAAGGCTGATTGTGTCGTCCAAATTCAACAACATTGTCAACCCACAAATGTCAACAATTTAGCGATATAAAATATGTGAACCTACGAGTTCACGAATGGGAATCTGCTTTGGAAACCGCAAAGTAGTATTAGAAAATAATAAGCTGGGAAATGGGACTAGTAATCCTACCTCTTCCCGCGCTTCCTTTCTCGTCTGTGAGAGCAAAAGCGTTTTGAAAAAGGCTACCCCCACCCCCACTCCCCAAGACCCCATCGTCTGAATCCATATTACTGATACTTCCTTAGGATGAATGGGGAAAATTAATCGTTTAAAAAACGGTTGACAAAAAAGTTGACTCTGTTTTTTTTTTTATTTTACGTCCATAAAAGTAAACATCGAAAGTAATACTTTACGGGACCTCATCTTTGTGTAGAAAAAAACTGATGAAATCACAATATCAGTAGGCCTGTTTGTAAAGTCAGCAAAAGATTTCACGAGAAACCCTGGGCATCACGAGTTCCAGGAAAAGCTGTATTTAGTACCCAGACCTCTGAAGTTTTGCAAGCAGCTGCTTTCTGAGCAGTCACCGCTTACATCGAACGTAAAATGTGGAAAAAACTTTTCAAGCCTGGCGGCAGCGACTTTGAAACTACACTGACAACGCTAACAAAAGAAACAGGTGCTCCTAGAGACCTTGCTGAGAAAGTTCTTCGTGAGTGTAATGGAGATCTAGCGCTAGCAAGACAAAAACTTCAGCGACAAAACTCTTCAATGGCCGCTGCGAAAGAAGACAAAGTTCCAACTTCCTCTACAGCGTACGCTGATGCTCCGCCACCTTATTCCGAAGCTGTAGAAGGAGCTATGGCTTTACCCGCGCCACTTCCCCCTCCGTATATTAGCCAAGAGAAAGACACTCTTTTGGGTGAATTGGAGGCCGTCTTTCCAGACCATGCAGACGAGAGATGTTGTGCCTGTTTTGATCCAATTCGCCCTGACAAGAGCGAAGGATTTAGCGGAGAGATGATTTGGCAAGGTCTAAAGGTAAATGACGCTAGATTAGATAATTAAAATAGACAAACTCAAGCAGAAAACATGATCTAGTTAATTCCATTTTGATATTCAATATTTGATTCTAGAACGATGCCAATTCCAAGGAAGGAATTATCAGCTAGGCTAGAGACCCAAGGGTACCAAGAGTATGCATTGGTTGGACAAATATTTGAAACCTTAAAAAGGAGATTCCCTTTAAACGCACATGTCACTCGAAGCGGTTACAATTCGAATCATCGATTGAGTTATTTGTCTTTAATTTTTATCAGGGGGAAAATTATTAAAGCCTCTTGACTCCATCATTTTGACATGTGTGATATTTGCTCGGTGATTCGACAAGACCATTAATTTTAAGATTGTGATGATGTTATTTTTCCATGAGAATTCCTTTTATTTTGAAGACGAGGCAAACTTTCTTGAGGCAAACTTTCTTGAGTCAAAATTACTATCTAAATATGTTAAGGTTCAGCATTTCCCAATCCTTGAGTAGAAATTTGTTTCAGAACTTGACTTTAGTGTCATCTCATATAAATGTTAATATAAAATCAAATAAAGTCAAATTTGGACCTAAAATCCTCACAAGGCTTGAGGGAAGAAACTCATCATGCCAAGTGTATGTGTTAGTTGCACTGTGTTTTGTCATTGCTTAATATGTATGTTTTGTTCAACATCTGGTACAATCATCATCCTTCAGTTTGTGTCACCTTTTTGTTCAAACACAATTAACTGCCTTGTGTGATATAGAAATTTATTACATGACTCGGGAAGTCAGAGGGCCCATAACTAAAATCAACCAATCAAAATGCTCTATTGCCGGTCAATATCCTCTCAGTATTGGACCGGGCACTATCCCGAATGGTCCCGAATGATACCGCACTTGTGTCCCTTTGAACTTCAGTCATATAATAAATCTCTTATTAACCAAGCTTGCTCGGGACCCTACTGGAAGAATATTGGCCCTCGGTCTTTTTTGTATGGACCTTGCTGCGGTCGGTCTGTACTGTCAAGACCTCAGGCCGATATTCTCCCAGTATGGCCCGCGTGCTCGGTTAAATTGAGTAGACACAGACAGCACTGAATAATGTCAAAGAGAGTTTTGATTTTGTTTTTACAAGCATAAATCTGAGTTGCTTAATATGAATCAAATTCCAGACCTTTTGATTTTTGTGGTGAAGAATAAAGTAAGATTTGTTGTTACGGGATATTTCAATGATGGTGGTGTGTTACTCTAGGTATAAATCAGAACCACCATTGTTAGAAGGCATACTGGCAATCAACATTAGTATAATATGTGTTAAAGATTGGATATAGGGGAAAGCATTACAGTTAAATGTGATGAGAGAAAAAAAAAACAAAACAAAACAAAATTAAAAATTAAAATAAAAAGCTTTTGTACATTCTGCCAGTACTAGGAGTGTACATCACTTAATAAAGTGATTGACATTTAAGATGAATTGCTTGAAGACAGCATAAACAGTCTTGAAAAGACACATGCAGGAGGGCAACTGTGGGGTAGAAGGTAGGGGAATGGGAGGCAGGATGGGTGTGGGTGATTAAAAATGAAAGGGGTTGGAGGTGGAAACTTTACCAGGGTGGGAAATGGAATACAAATGAAGAAATGTGAACACTTGTTAATCATCAATCTAGAAAAAATGCAGAAGGCAGAGGAGCAAGGCTTGGGAAGTAGTTTCTGCCCTCTGAATAGAAGGGGTTGAAGATGGAAACTTCATAAGGGTGGAAAATGGAATAGAAATGAAGAAATGTAAACATTTGTTACTGGTAATCATAGAGCTGGAGTGTTTTCAGTTGGCAAGGAGATTGGTCAAAGATGCAGAAGGCAAAGGAGCAGGGCACGGGAAGTAGTTTCTCCCCTCTGTTCTCCCCTCCCCCAACTGTTTCTAGAAACTCAAACTGTTCCATCTTAGTTCTTGTGCCTTAAGTAATAATTTGGTTTTTTGTGTGATCTGTTTTCAGGCTTATCATTCAGAATGCTATATGAAAAGCAAGGGACCAAAATGTGAACATTGTTGTTTTGCCCTGATTGCATTTCCTGAAAAAGGCTTGTCTGGAAAGTGGGGTGTTTATAATGGCTGCAAGTATCATGAGGAATGCTACATTCAATATGCAGGACCACGTTGTAGTGCTTGCTTTGATGTCATTCGTGTTGATCCTGAAAATGGGTTTTCAGGCAAGTGGATTAATGACAACAATAAACAGTTTCATGAAGAATGCTACAAGAAGAAAATGTTTGTTGAAATGAGGGCCAAACATTCCTAGCTGGCGAACTTACATTGTACAAAGAAACGTGTGATTACTTACAGCACACTAGACATTTCCTGGACTTTTTCCATTGTGTACATGTGAGAAGGGTTTTAAAGTTACCGGCCTGCAATTTCACCATTGAAAATTCTCATTTTTAAGACTGGTAGTGGTGTTCTTCACATTTATACAGTTCTTGTGCTGAAGGAGACCTGTTATTAGTAAGATAAATGTGGAAGTCACTACGATAATTTTTGTTGTCAGATATTTACTGGCTAATATCTCCTGGATAGTGGTGTACATAAGGTAGACAGTTAAAAGCATTATCTGGTAAGTTATGTTAAGATCATTCTTGTTCTTCGTGTAAAGTAAATTTGCGAACAAAATTTCATTGTATGGACACATCTAGAATTGTGGGCACCTAAAAAAATTGCTAGAGTCTTTTTATGGTTATGGTAGTTTATTTCTGAGGAGTCAAATATGTGCTTTATAATTTAATTACAAGGCATTTTAATACTGAATCCAAGTGCCTTGTTATACAAGTACTGAAGGCTGAAAGTGAAAGCTTCTCGCACTTCCTGATTGTTATGAACATTTCCAGTTGACTATAATGTCAAACAGTGCTCATAACCCTTTCACTGCTCAGAGTGATTTATAAGTAATTGCTGTCTACAGCATCTGTACATTGTCTGGAAGGCAGGTGATGAAAAAAATGAAAAAGAACATTAGCTAGGGATCAGCATAAGCATTTTACAAGAAATGTATGGTAGACAGTTAGGATGGTTAATAATGAGATATTAATTGGTAGTAACATTGTTGAATCAAAATGTATCTTATGATTTTACTAACCCTTGCATGCAGTGCATGTACAATTTTTTTCCATGCAAGATTGTAACATTTTTCAATTGCTCTATGAGGATAAAATGAACTTTTTCTGACTTGAACTGTGACACATAAAATTTTTAAAATTTTTATTTAGAAATTCCTCTGTATTTTAAGATCATTTTTGATTCTATTTCTGGCCTATCAAATGAATACCGTATGTTCTATGAGGTAACAGTGATTTTACCTAATTCATGAAATAGTTTGTATGCTATTAGATACAGTAACTATAATTTGAGAACCACATTTTTTTTGACACAGTTATGTTTAGGGGGAACAGTCAGATATTGTTTCAATTGATATCACTCTTACATGCCTTTTTTTAGGAAGGTATCATAATTCTCTCAACAGAGGGCAGGAGACAATTAAATATGTTGTGCATGAGCAGACCATTATTTGTAGGGAGTTGCTAGTAAGTCATGTTGTCAGTCATTAAAAAAGAAGGAAAAGGACATCAAGTGGTAATGATACTAAGGTCAGTTTTTAAATATGGATGTAAACGAAAATCATATGTACATCATTCTGTATAGGTTATAAACATGAATACAAAGATGTCTCTGTATCAGACACAAGTAAAAAGGACAAGCTATAATAGACTGTGGTTTTAAATTTTGTGAGTGTGTGGTTTAAGAATGTAATTTATCGCCAGCAGCAGGAAGCTGTCTGTTGCCAATTTCTCAAAATAAAGAGAATAATTTTAAAAAAATTTCATAGGGACATATTTTTTTTTAATATCCCATACCAACAGCAAGTTTTTACTAATTGTAACTTTATGTGGTGTCTAACCCTTTATGCATTAACATCAGTAGGCATATTCCCATATTGTTATCTTGGCCTTTTCTTGGGTGGTGATTAGGGGAATTTGTTGTATAATCAAGAGCTTCTTTAGTTGGTGACCATTTGTTGTTCCTGTGACTTTAAATGCAGTGATTCAGGGGTTATAATGTGAGGAGAAAGTAGATGCTAGTCACCTGTTGACTCGGTATACTTCGATTACAAATGACTGACCCTTGCTCAGTATACTTTGATTACAAATGACTGACTTTTGATAATGGCTAGAACAAACCAGTTAATTTAAAGTCATTTGTCTTTCTCTTCAAAACATTTCCCTCATCTTTTCATCTGAGAAATGACTTTCTGTCAGTGAACAACAGCAGACTAGAAAAGTCACTGTATCTCCAAAGGTATTAATTAACAAATGAAACAAAATGTGGATCAGTGACAGTCCCCACTGGATCACAAACTCTGTTTGATAGAATGGTCAACTTTATTATTTCAAAATATTGATTAAAAATAATTACTTCTACAAAAATTAATACTTAGCCTAACAACTATATCAGAGGTGCCATCGAGTATTCCTATTCATAGGTACATTGAAGAAATTAAAATATATGGTTAATGAGAATATTTCATGAACAGTACATATAAATGAAAAAAAATTGAAGTTGACTTCTTACTGAGCATGTGCAAGTTAGGCATGTAATATCCTCTTTCATTCCTTAGCAAACAACATCTTCAAATCCCCCAGGAAATGATACAGTATTAAACCAAATCATTGCAAGTGTAAATAAAATGTAAAAGCTGATAATGTGTGAACAAAATACTACTGGACACAAAAGTTGCCTAACTGAACATTTAACAAGTCTTCTTGATTTAAATAAACACTCCAAATCATAATTATGTTTTGTAAAAATTAGATTTACCCTGATTAATTAACTACCATTTATATAGATACTATAATACTTATTAAATAAGTGATGAATTCACTATCAGGGCTCGACACTAACTTTTCAACTTACTAGCCAAGTGGCTGGTGACATCTTAGATGCTACAACAGTGTCAGTTCGTTTACTAGCCAAACTGGCTAGTGGAAACTGGAAACCACTAGCCAAAACTGAATTTCTACTAGTCCATGGCTAGTGGCCTACCGTCAGTGTCAAGTCCTGACTACGCATCTAAACTTTAACTTTATCTGCTCATAAATCCTCTTTCAATAGTTATCATTCTATATATAAAAATAGAAGTTATTTAATACAGCAACTGCAAATAACCAATTCCTACTGGGCTGGGTTTTTTATTACTGCATAATGAAATGGAATCAGATGTAGTTACTTCAATGTAACAGAGACCTGACTTAATTTTAATAACAATCCAGAATTCTCCAAGCTCTCAGTCCATGAAAAAAATAGATAAGATGGCTAGTGCAAAACCTCATTCTAGAAGAAAATCTCCTGGGATACCCTTTGGGTGGTTAATTTCAAGTACCAGTAGTACTTGTGTGTTCAACACTTGCAGTCCCTTTTTTGTTTTCTTTGCCTGAACCCTGCTGTTTTTCACACACCAACTGTTTGCCTCATGGCTGAGAGCTAATGAAAGTCAAGGTCATGCAGTAAGTTTATACTACTTTAAGTATACTATTGCAAGGAGAAATCATGTGATACACCACCTGATAAAAAAAAGAAAAGAAAGTAGTGGCTGTAGCCCTGATATCATGATGTTCCTGAAAAAGGAGGTACTGTAATAAAGACAAAGAAAATGAAGAAATTTTTTCTGACACCATGATTTATCTCATGTTCAGAATATCTTGTTACATATTAACCAACTAATCCATGTCCCTCTAATTAATTGATGATATTTGCTTCCTCTTGATGCAAATTGTTGACTCACTCCATATCTTCATCATTAAGTTGTCTTAGTTTGCTGTCTTCAAAGTTTTGTAAAAGTAATATCCACAGCAAAATTCTCTTTGTATGTTTTCCACGTTTTGGGTTTGTGGGGATTATCCAACTCTCCACGACGTAAAAACAATCTGCAAGAACAAAGACCCACCTTTATAACCAAAAAGAATTGGTAGAATTTGATAACACTGGGTAAAACAGTCCAACAGCTGTTGTAATTATTACTGGTATGATTGTTTGATTGGCTGAAAGTGATTGCATTTTTCATGTAACATGAGTGCAATGTTGTAACACAAGTACAAATTATCTTACTTCCTGAGGTGCCAAATTTTATGTGAATTATCAACCCCTTCCCTAACACAGCCAGGCACCCTCTCCAACCGGCAGCCATATTGAATTTTTCTCAGCAACTGGAAATGTCTTAGCTTGTTGTTGTGGGTTCAAGTCCCATCTGGGGCTCGGATTTTTTCTAATTACATTAAAAATTGTTTCATCTTCACATGCTCATGGATGTTGGTTGGCCGCATCTTGATATGCTTTAATGTGACAGCATGATGCTGTTAGTGAGCGCCTGACCGATACTTGGCTGCGTAGCCGTGCGATGCGGTTCCAGTCGAGGCCCGCAAATTGACCCTTGCTCACCAGAGTCTCCAGTAGCTCAGTGGTTAGAGCATCCGACTAGATCACAGAGGGTCATGGGTTCAAGTCCCAACTGGGGCTCGGATTTTTTCTAATTACATTTAAAAATTAATTGTTTCAACTTGAAATATACATGTATATATGTCCTTGGTAGGGAAAGGGTTAATAAGTACTTTAAGAACATGATTTGGTGTAAACAAGCATTTGTAACTTTTTCTAAGACTACAAATTGCCCTCACCCTACTGGCTTGTGCAGTTTTGTTGTCTTTGAAAATTTACTTGTGCTTATCAACACCAAATTGCACTTAGAATCATGTTACTGCCTAAGTATACTAACTGCACTGATCCATCTAAAAAAAATTATTTCAGGGGGAGATCTGCCAATGAATCACCTTACCTGGAGTTCTCAATGAAACTTGTGTGAAACCAAAAGAAGAAAGCACACTGGTCATACTCTTTTGGAACATTCTGACAGAAGAAAATTGACACGATTTGAAAACTAATTGGCACACAATCTTTAACTTATTTTGCCAAGGTCTTGATTGGTTTTATCCGTAACTTTTAAAAGACAATAAAGAATCGTTACTATAAAGTTATATACAATATTATAATGTTATGGACAAACTGTTCACACAACTTGACACCAATCTAAAAATGTGAAAAACTCCCACAGAATTACAATTAAAGGGCAGAAACCCAGGAGCTGCCAGCTACTTTGTGAATTGTGATTAAAGACACAAAATACGTCTTTTTAAACTGATTCTAACATCATAGTCTAGCCAAAAAAAGCTATTCCCCATATCCTGGAGTACTATAAATCCTGTCTCAAAGAGTGAAATTACAAAATTTTTAATAGGAGCATGACCCCACACCACTGAAAAGGAATTGTGTTGCTTTGCAACATGTCATGCTTGCTATGTAAGCATCCTTGAATTCAGCCACTAACTCATTTCAGATTTTACACCATCATTACAATTCCCAATGACAACCTTGAATTATATCATCTTTTTTCATTTAGAGCATCCCACATAACAAACTCTTTGTAATAATAATGTTACATGATCCCTGGGCACAGATCACAAAATAGGTAATTTTCATGCCAATAATATTTTGTCTTTAGTTGAGGTGGATTCTGAAACAGTTGCACCTTGGAGCACTATTATAAAATTAATACTACATTGATGAAATGCTTACTGGATTAGATGAGTAAAACTTCATTTTAATGTCTCCTGTGAGAGTTGGGGATTCTGCCTCATAGAGAATAATGACTACTTTGTCAAGATCTCTAAGGTGCTGTAGCTGTCAAAAAGGAAAAAAAATCAAATCAAATTTCAATAGCTAGCAAAGAACAATACGAAATCAAATAAGCAATTGAAAACAACAAAAGGCACAGTGAAGATTGGCTCTATGATTGTTTTTTGATTAACTTTTTTTTTTAAAACTTTTACTCACACTTTGAGGATATAGTTGCCTACCCTCAATTATTAATAAGGAGTTTACTTTTGAGTCACCATTAACTTCAGTTTACTGATGAAAAATGCCTGCTTTAGTTGCCTGAGGTGATTGTAGTGTATCATGTGCTCATGAGAATGTTTAAAAGTGAGAGCTCAGAATGAATGTTATGTCAAGTTAATGTCAGTTGCATGCATATAACTACAGCTGCATTAAGTGTTATTCATTTGAGTTAGTTTGCTTAGTGAGTAATAACTAAAAATAGTCAAGAGTGGTTTAACCTAATGTTCTGCTGCATGATTAAAAAGGAAAATTACCACTCAAATGAAATGTCTCGACCATCATCAGAAACAAAAATGCTTGCCCATCCCTCCCCTCTAATTCAGTTTTCAAGATGCTCTAACATCTCTCTAATCACCTTTTTCCTTAACTGGCTGGAAAAAAGCCCTAGTCTTACAGAGAGGTTTCTAGGTGGAGAGGGGGGATCTCCTTAACTGCTAACTAAAGAAGTAAAAAGCCAATGAAAATGGTGTAGATCAATTCTGAAGTTCTCTCTAACCTGTCCTTGACGTGAATTTGATAGATCTAGTGTAGTAACAGTGCTACCATTGATAATCATCTCAAAAGAAAGATCTTTTCCATTTCCATCTCCAACACCTGATGCAAAACAGAGAAAAGAAAAATAATGTTACTATTTATTTAGTATTTACCAGTTAGGGGATTTTGTTTTCACTCATTTGTAATAATTTCACACAACAATTAATTATTTTTTTCGCACAATAACGAGAATCACCAAGGCAGAGGTTTGTGTTATGGCCATTTGAGATTACGATGGTAATGGTAATGGTTTATTAGATATGAATTCAGCACTAAAATGAAATACTTCATATTTACAAGAATTACAAAAAATATTTACAAATTAAATGAGACTATATAAATAAAAAATTTTGCTGGGGGACTGGGTTACCGGATCACAAGATTCTATTAACAAATTATTACAAATGTGATATAAGTCTATTGCGATAATTCATTAAGCTTTGACGTCATTGCGGGAAAAAAACTTATTTGAAAT